AGAGATGATTTTGGAAGTTTAAAAGGGAGGGAAATAGGAGGAATAGTGAAGGAATGGGTTGAAATGAAGGGTTGGGGGTTTTAAATGTTGTTTTTTTAAAACCCCCAGCCGGGTCAGGTCGGGTATGCCTCATTAATGACGTGATGATTCAACGATGACGGTCCGTCTCATATGTGACGATCCGTCGTTGGTTCTGTCGCGTGTGCCTTAGTTTGAAAAATAAAAAAAAGACGTACCTGGAACGACGGATTCATGCGAGTAATTTTCTGCAGAATTTCCTGGTGATGTGCCTGAAAATTTAAAACCCATTAGTAGAAAATGATACAATTACTAGAAAGAAAATCTATAAGTATTGGGTTTCCTCCCAAAAAGCTCCTGATTTAACGTCGCGACACGACTGAGGACACTTACTTACTCAGACTTCATCAAGATGGTATGCCTCGATCAGTTCATTCACCGATGCAGTATGCCCAAAATAGAGTTTTATTTTTTCTCTATTCACCGTAAACCGCACTTGGTTTTTAACTCAACTTCTCCATGAGGGAATACTTGGGTAATCAAGTAAAGGCTAGACCGTTTGGACTTGAGCTTGCCAAGAAGACAAGGCAACTCGAAATTGTCTAAAAGAACCAATTCCCCAACAATAAACTCTTGTTGTGCACTTTTTTTTTCATTCTCCTTCTTCATCTTTTCTTTATGCGATATGGCAGATACCGATTGGAGCTCACCGCTCTGCCTCATGGTTCTACAAATTTTGAAGGTAGCTTCTTCATTGTTCAACCGAAATTTCACCTGCCCCTTTTCCATATCAACTAAGGCTCTACCTTTAGAAAGGAATGGCCTCCCAAGAATAATAGGCACTTCAAAATCGACTTCACAATCAAGAATAACAAAATATGCCGAATATATGAATGACTCCACTTTTACTAGCACATCGTGGAGTATCCCTATTGGCCTTTTCACTGTTCGATCAGCCATCGGTAACCGCATCACAGTGGGTTTTGGGTCACCCAAACCCAACTTCTTGTAAATCGAGAGGGGCATGAGATTTATGCTTGCCCCCAGATCACATAATGATTTCGCAAAATGTAATGACCCGACTGTACAAGGAATAGTGAACGCACCCGGATCTTCTTTCTTTTGTACGAGAGATCTTGTAGCAATAGCACTACAATGCAGCATTTTGTGCAACATATCCTCAACTCGCGCCATACTATCTCCACCATCCCAAGGAGTAACTTCACGATTTTGAGGAGGGACATAGGGCCCATTCCTATAATTTTTGTTACCGTAGTTACCCTTGTTGAAGTTGTTGTCGCGGTTGTATTTTCCATCTCGGACATAATGACCCTTACGGTTATAGTTACCATAGATCCGCCTTGGTTCCCTTAACCTTGGCACCAATTATCCTTATTTGAGCCTTGGGCACTCGGTCTGAAACCCCCTGTCTGCTCATTTACTATATAGGAGTCCTCTGCATAATAGCATCCATCATTAGGAGGTGGTGGTTTAGGCAAGTAGTTAACTTCATTTATCTTTTCTGCACCCCAGTGATATGTTTTAGTACCAACCCAAGCTTAGTTCTCATCTGAGCCATTTCTTCACGAATCTCATCTGTGGATGGGTTGTGAGTGGACTGTACTGCGAAGGTATTTCTCCTTGTATCTGACTTCCTAGTACTCCAAGATTTATTATTCCGGAAGATTTTCTCTAATTTTTCAGAAATCTCAACATAAGGACACTCCCCATAAGATCCACCTGCAATAGCATCCAACACCGCTTTATTATTATCATCTTGTCCTCGATAGAAGTATTTCTTCAGTGACTCATCATCTATACATTGATTTGGGACACTTCTCAAGAACGGGGTGAATCTATCCCATGAACTACTAACTGACTCTCCTGGTAGTGCCACAAAGTTGTTCACTCTGTCTTTGTGGTTTAATTTCTCGGAGACCGGATAGTAGCGTGCTAAGAAAACATCCCCTAGTTGGTTCCAGGTGAAAATTGAGTTGTACGGGGACTCAGTGAACCATATAGCAGCCTCTCCCTTCAGTGAGAGAGGAAACACTCTAAGCCCTATTACATCCAAGTCCAAGTCAGGCCTCCCTACACAGCTTTTACACACTGCCCTTACCTTAGCTATATGGGCATGTGGATCCCCAGAAGGTAGCCCTGAAAACAAACCTCTGGCAGTGAGCAGTTGCATCAGGCTACTAGTTACCACGAAGCTGTGGTCTAGTGGTACAGGAGGCAAGACAAGTGGCCCATCAGAGTCTTCTATGTTGTCATAGCCTCTGTAGTATGCTTGGGTCCGTGGAGCGGGATTTTGTCCCCTCTGTTGGTGTTCACCCGGAGCATCGGGTAACAACTGACCATGAACATCTACCGGAATTGGGATGTTCTGGTTTGGATCATCACCATTAATTCCCAAGTTTCTATTCATGTTGCGTAGTGTACGCTATAATTCGTGATCGTAAGGAAACAACGGTTCTCTTCCTCTTCGTGTATTTGGCATACAAGGAGGGTGGTTCTGCAAAAATCAAAAACAATAAAACAAAGTAACATCAAGAAAATATCAACTAAACTATAGTAATAAGTTTAAGTTAATCTAAAAGCTACTTTCCCCGGTAACGGCACCAAAATTTGATACGCTCAAATATAGTTCTCAAATAAGAAGTAAAGTGGTCATGTCAAGTAAATAACCCAACTAGTGAGGTTGGGATCTTTCCCACAAGGAAAATAGTTTAGACTTAACTTCAATCTGTTATTACTATTGTTTAGTCAATTACTTCCTTGGAAAGCATAAAATGATAAAAGAGGGGTTTCTATTCCTAAATAAATGAATAACTAGCAAAATAAAAGGAGACAACTAACAGCTTCGAATGTTGGAGTTTAATCAATTAATCAAAGTAACTAGGGTTTACGTTTTCCCACAGGTTCATAACTTTATAAGTCTAACTATAACAATTCTTTCCTAGTATCTTGCATGCAAAATGATAAGTTATGTATTTCTAAATCCTTGGTCCGACATCTAGAAAATTTTACTCCGCACGTTGGTCCGGCTACGTGTGTTGCTATCCTAACCCTTATGTTTACCTCATATTAAGCATCATATTCGATATTTGACTAAGTTATTACCTCGTACAAATCAATACTAGCCTATTAGATAGTATACACTAAATCTATGTTGATAATTCTTTTCCTATTATCTACCTCCTTGGTCCGTCAAGTAGCATTAAGCCGAGTTCTAACATTGGCCATCCGTTAAAAAGACTTCTATGCAAAAGAATTATCAATACATGCAAGACACTATTCTTAAATTGTTATTTAGTTAGGTTTTACCTCATTATTTTCCTATGGTTCCCACAACCCTACTTATTGAGTTTAGTTACCCATAGTCATAATTACAATATTCAAATATGTGATATAAGCATTCATGAACTTACTTCGATTAGAAAGAGTAAAATCCGAATGTTCGCTTGATTAATCAACCAAAATCACCAATAGTCAATTCAAAAAATTTCAAAATAATCAAGAATCTAACAATAATCAAGGGCCTAACCAAATAATCCAAAGTCTAACCTCAAAAACGAGGTTTTGAAAACTACTTATAGAAAATAAAAACCTAATTAAACAAGGAATCTATTTGCTGGAAATCTGTCAAAACGCGGCTGGACCGACAGACATCACGACGGATCGTCATGGTCACGACGGACCGTCATGGACTTTGTCGTCCCATACTTGATGAAATTTCTTTTGCTTCTCTCTTCATTACCCTCGAAGACAGGTATGACAGATCATCACAAGCTCAACGGTCCATCGAGGGTCTCCGTTCCAAACACTTGAACTCTTGGAATATGGGTACTAGGACTAGTTCTCTAAACTTCATGACGAACCTGCAGGACGGACCGTCATGGACACGACGGTCCGTCACACTTTTCGTAACTTCACACTTTGTCAGGCATCCCTATCTTCCTTCAGCAGCTGCACTACGCTACCACCTATTAACCGTCACGAGCATGACGGACCGTCACAAGATCCTTAGGTGGTCTCTTCTGCATTTCTTCACTCAAAAACCTCCGCATTCATCTTTGGACAGAAACTTATATAAAAATTAGCACAAAAAGTCTTTTGGACACACTAACCTTAAGGAAAAAGTATTAATAATACCGGGAAGCCACGGTATATAAGGTTTTATGACACCGGATTCCACATTAGCTCATATTATCTATATAGCTTAAGTAAATATGTTCCCGAAAGTAAAATGAATGACTAAATGAAATTAGACATTGACTAGGATGACATGTGAGTTCTACTTAGCTATGGGAATTTACCTAGACATTGCACAAGTTAACTCTAAAAGGAGTCTTTGAAGTTGGTCTTATACATTATGATATCATATATTATGAAATGTTAGTTATATATTATGATACTCTTATATGATGTCAACCATGTAAATGAATATGTTATTTGTTTAAGTTTATATGTGGTATGAAGCAAAGCATTACTTATTATCTCTTATCTTATTTACTAGTTTATGTGGTGTTACGGGGATTCACATGAGCATTGCGCTTGTAGGCTCGTGATGGGATTGTTTTTAAGGGTTTTGTATACTCTTTTTATATGAACTATTGAATTGGAAATGTTGATATGGCTTTATGTTGATGTTGTCTTTGGTTGTGAACTCATGAACAAGCTTTGTTGTTATAAATGATGTTAAAATTTCTTTGGCTATGGTTTCACTATGCTATACACATATTGACTTGGTTTAACTTAATTATATTTGTTTTATGTTGAATATATTTTGTTTTACGTAATATATGATTATGGTCTCATATGTGTTCTTGGGTTATGCATAAGGCTTTTCAAAGTAATTAGGCATGTTTTTATCAAATGTCACCTTTTAGCATAATTTCTTTGTTGTGTGTGCATATGTGCTCATAATTAGTACAAGTGATGTGCTAACCCCATTTCTCCCTTTGTCCCAAACATTTTAGGTTCCGATCGTTAAAAGGCTTGTTCCTAGTTTGCAAGAAGGCTCGGATCATTCCACCTAGTGTGGGCATGTCCTCATGTTCCGAGCAGGATGCCTTTCTTACTCTAGGTATGTTGCATTGTTATAATATAAAGACAATCATTTGCCTCTTTTGTTTTAAGACATTGTTGTAAGCCCTAAGTGGAATTTATTTATTTTTGTAAGGGTTTTGCCCATATTGTTCGATTTCATTTAGATGGTTCAATATGAGACATCCCATTTAAGACTCTATTGTGTATCTTTTATATGTATACATATATATATATGTGTGTGTGTGTATGTGTGTGAGTTTATGCCATAAAAGAAGAAAATTGTGTAATATTCTTATACGAGTGGTTTATGTATACTCGCTATGAATACATTATTTGTAAGCTAGAGGTCTAAGTAAACCTCATGAAGTAATTGTAGATGAAAAGTTTTAAATTTTCCTCATTTTTAACCTATGAATGTACTCATGAATGCTAAGAGTCTAGTCTTAGTCCTTTCCAAGTACGACGTGCTGGTTAAGTCTTGTGTGCTCCCTGGTTGTGACAAACATGGTATTAAATCATGAGGTTGATTATCTCTAGAATCGATTTCTCATTAAACAACGTCTGTGTAGATTTTTATACATAATTGTGAAGCGCGCCACACTTATAAATGAGAGATTATGTGATTCTTAGGAAACTCTCATCTTCTCGCATTCCTATTTTGTGCCTCTAAAGTAGTATTTTGTGCTTTCACCTATACCTTTTATTGTGGTTATAACTATGAATACTTGAAGGGAAGCGACAAGAAGGGCCAAAAAAGGTATTGCCAATGTGAGGGCTAATGACAATCAACCTCCTCCACAAGACAACTAAGTGACTCCCCTTGAAGAAGTTGCTATAAATTGTCAAGTTTGGGTTGTTCCTCCACCTATGATGGATGGAAAGATAAGGGCGACTTTTCTCAATTTGTCCTAAGCTAATGCGGTAACTTCTCAAGTCCAAGACCTGATGACCCAAATAAATAGGGAGGTCGAACCCCAAGTGCCTCAACATTCTAGAGCTATGGCTTCTCGTTTGAGAGACTTTTCTTGAATTAACCCACATGTGACAGCCGTAAAAATGAATATGCTATGTAATGGTTAATGTGTCTTGAATGCCTACGATTCGATTGCGTTCACATTGATTGATGCACATAGAACCAGACATCTTAATCCTTTCTACAACAAAGCCAACTAACTTGAAAGTTAGTGGAGTTATAAAAGGTTGGGTCCAACCATGTAAGTCTCTCGAATACAATGATTTACTTGAAGGAGTCTTTACCAAACTTAAAAAGGGAAAAATCTTAGGTTTGGAGTGTCTACGAGTAAATTGGTCTTTTTCCAAGATAAGGGTAGTATCTTAATAACTCGAAATATATAATTAGTTATTTAATTAATAAGGTTAAGGGGAATTTTTGGGAGAGAGGGTCAAAAATTGGCTCTTGAAGTGAAGTCTTGCTCCACCCGGGTTCGAACCTAGGTGGAATCAATGAATTAAATTATTTTTTTAAGTTGGTAAATTAATGTAATTAATTTATATTTTTTATTTATTACCTTAGTAAAAATAAAAACAAATCATATTTTTAATAATTATGTAAAAAATCTTATATTGCCTAAGACCTAAACTAGACTCCTAATCCTAAAAAAACTCTTCTCTCCACGCTCATCTCTCTCTTTCTCTCACGTATCTGTCACTCTCACTCACGATTCCCGCTGCAAAATAACTTCAAAAAAACAGTACGAAAACCAATGTTCTTCACTCTTGAAGAACTCACAACAAATAAATAAGAAAACAAATGAAATAAATCATGTAAGAAAAGAGTTGTTTGTCCGTCGAGTTGGTGTTGACTTTGAAAGGATTTGGACGTGATATTAGTTGATGTTTTTGGGCAGCAAGTCGAGGGTTTAACGTCAAAAAGGTATGGGTTCTCTTCTCTTTGTCCCTTTCCCAAGAGACCCCTAAGGTTGACACGAATCCATTCCGAAAACTAAGGTTGTTCCCCGTTGCATGTCCCTGTCACTAGCTCCCATTTAATCATAGGTTGGTTATATTTTCTGGTAGAAAACTAGGGATGAAATGTGTTTTCGTGATGATTATGTGTTTATATGTATGTTTGGGATTATGTGACTTATGTTGATGTTTTTCCGAAATTATGTGTACGTGTGTGTGCAATGTGAACCGTATCTATGTGCCTTAGGTTAAGGCTTTATAAATCTGATGTTGTGGATGTATTTCATGTACAAATGATTATGTAATTTGTGATGTTCGTATGAGTTTAAATGCTACTGATTTGCGTGATTATCTCTTGGCTAAACTAATCCATGAAAAATGCACCTAAGAACTTATTAAGTGATCTATGAATTACTCTATGAAATTGCGTATAAATGATGAAGAAAGTAGGGTGCAAATGTGATTAAAATTATTAGCATGTTGATAATTTAATTTCAGCTAATGTTGAAGTTTAGAAAAGTTTGAAATAATGTTTAAAATATGTGAGGTCAGTTGGGATTGAACCCAAGAGCTCACTATAAGGAAGCTATGAATAAAAGAAAAAAATGGGAGGCGTGGAAATCGAACCCACGACCCTTAGGAACTGAAGGAGTGTAGTGAAAATGCAAGAAAAGAAATGTGAGGCGTAGGAATCGAACCCACGACCTCTAGGCATTGAAGAAGAGTTATGAAAATGAAAGAAAAGAGATGTGAGGCGTGGGAATCGAACCCACGATATCCTAGGCCGATTCAAGAAGAAAATTAAATGAAATTAAAGAGGGGATGTGGGCGTTTGGACCCACAACCCCTTCTGCCAAAGGAGAAAAAGTAAAAGTAATAAAAATAAAAAGTAAATGATGTTGTGGGGGTTTGATCCTACATTCTTTTAGCACTATTAAGAAAAAATGAATGGAGGAATTAAGGGGAAAATAAAATGAAGGCATTGGGGCTCGAATTTGGGTCCCCAAACCGTATGGATCAAATAAAGTCAATTTAAAAAAAAGTAAGTGTTGTCCAAGGGATTTGAAACCAAGTTCCCTTGCCGAAATTCTCTATTTATACATATTTCATACATGAATAAAATATTCAAGAATAATGCTCCCTACATAAATCAAAATCGAGATCTTAGCATACATGCAAGATGCATAACTCTTGTACCACATAATCTTAGGAAGATATGACTCGCTTAAACGAACTATGAAAAAAGCCTCATGGAGCAAACATCTAAAAATAAGTGAACCTAAGATATACACAATGAAATGATAAAACCCTAGAAGGGTTAAGTAAGAGTGTGAAACATACTAAATTTCCAAGTACATAGGCATATGATGAAATGAACAATGAAATGATGAAATGAACAAAGAAATGATGAAATAAACAATGAAATGATGAAACCCTTGAAGGGTTAAGTAAGAGCGTGAAATACCCTAAATGTCCAAGGTGTAATGGCATATGATGAAATAAACAATGAAATGATGAAATGAACAAAGAAATGATGAAATGAACATAAAATAATGAAACCCAAGAAGGCTAAGTAAGATTGTGGAACACACTAAATGGCCAAGTGCATTGGCATATGATGAAATATACATTCACGTAAAATGGGGTGAGTAATTATGACGAGTAAATATGCTAATATAAATGAATGTGGTGAAAACATGATATGAGGATAATGTAAAAAATTAGAGCAATCTCAAATGCGCCTTAGTAAATGTTACCAAAATGTACTCACCTATGAGTGTAAAATTTATGAACAGACCAGTCTCTATGAATATTCTAATGATATTGAGATTAACACACCTAATACTAATGATGAGATGAGAAATCATCTATTGAGTTATGATGTCCTCATACTAGAAGACAGCTTCCATGACGTATGAGTTTAATGTAATGGAACTTTTTACTGAGCACCGATAGACTAGCTATGAGCGGTGATGCCTTCTTTGGGGAAGGGTGGAGGTTCATGTAACTCTCATGAGATGAGACTGTCCGATATGCCAGGTAGGGTCTCCTTATATCTCCTACTCTTTGAACCTATACTGCCAATATAGGGATCTGGACGGGTTCAATTCCCATGTACGCTAGCATGTTTTGGGTCACCTTGTCCGGTGATTCCACCTCTTTTCAATGTGGGGAAACACTAGATTTTATGATACTCACATGATCTATGTCGGGTAAAGTTAAAATTCTAAATGAATGAATGAGGCCAGCCTCAAATGATGCACATAATGAAATGAATGATATCATCCTCAAATGATGCACATAATGAAATGAATGATACCAAAGGTGTTAGGATAGTATGATCAGGAGGTGATATAGACTTAAGTAATGACACTAGGTCATTCTTGATCATTGCACAATGAACCCGATGAAAGTCTTAAACTACATCCTAGGTATAGCTGGTGTTTACACAAGCCTATGAATGAAATTTAATGAAGTACGTATGAATGAATGAAGCAGAATCTCTGTTTGCTAACGATTGCCCCTATTTGAGATCCCATATGTTGAACGCTCATTTTTGGAAGTCTTGATGTCATGTACATGATTCCAAGGTCTCATGGCATATGAGCGAATGATATATAATATGTTATGTGCTATTTGTAAGATGTTATGTGTTGTGTGCAATATGATAAGTATGAGGATGTATGTTACTCTCATGGCATGGCTTTCCTAATCCAAATTTTGAAAGCTCACTCACATTCCTAATCCAAATCTTGAAAGCTCACTGACATTCTTAATCCCAATTTGGCAAGTCCATTGATTTGACTTTCCATTATAATGTCATTAGGAATTAAGTATTCTTACTCATGCATGTCCTTGGTGTGTGCTTGAAAATACCCATAATTAGTACAAGTGTGTACTAACACTATACAACTCTACAATTTTAGGTGCAGGTATATGTGGACGCTAGAGCTATATGTTGACGTTGAAACTATTCGGACATGGAGCATTCATCCAGACTTAGTAGTCCCTCATGATTTCGAGTATTCTTTCCCATTGCATTCTACCTTAGTTATAGTATTGAGCTTGTGGTGTATGTTCCACTAGTGTTTCTTTCCGCTTCTATTCAGACATCGTATTAGTGCCATTTTTGCAAGTATACATTTAATGATGTATTAAGCTATTTATTTCATTTGATGATCTCAATGTTAGATGGTTGAAGGTGAACAATTATGAATAGAATGATTAGTATGTATGTTAAGAAACAAAAAGTTTCAAATTTTCCGCTAAAATTAACATAGACTAAGTTAAAATGACGTAAGTAGGCTTGTCTGCGACGTGTGAGAGGTCAACAACGCCGGTCTTGTTTAGATTCTGGACTCCAGTCGTGACACCACCTATGTTCTTATATTCGAAATCACATGATTACCCTTAATATTTTCTCGATGAGGTTTATAAAATTCTATATGCTATGAGTTGATCTCAATTGGTAAGGTCGAGCAGGCGGACAATGAACTCAAAGATATGTCCCAAACTTGGTACGTGCAATAGACGGATAATAGGACACTTAGAGGTGGTCCAATGACTAGGGAGATCTTCAAGAAGTCCTTCCTTGATACGTTCTTTCCTAAAGAGTTGAGGGAAGCTAAGGTAGAAAAATTCATCAACCTTCGTCAAGGAGGTATGAGTGTACTTGAATACTCCTTAAAGTTTTCTAAGTTGTCCAAGTATGCTTCATCCTTGCTGTCTAACCCAAGGGATGAGATGAGTCATTTTTTTACGGGGGTGTCCGAAGACTTGGCAGAAGAATGTCGTTCAGCTATGCTTCATGATAATATAAATATATCTCATCTCATGGACCATGATTAACAAGTTGAAAAAAGTAGGATAAGGACGAAGAATAGGTAGGCCAAGAGGGCCAAGACTTATGAAGGTGGTTCTTCAAAGAGTAGGCTTGACATTCAAGAAAGGCCTAGGTTGTAACACCTTAAAATGAACTATGGTGAACTAGAGCTTCTTAAATTGTTTGTGTGCTAGTTTTGTGTTTAAATGAGTTACACTGATGTTCATAGGCAGTGTGTGAAGTTTGGTAACATTTAGATGTCAAACGTTCAAGAGCATCCATGACGTTCAGAAGGTGTGTCTTAGAAAGTGTTCATGTGTCTTGATGTGTTGTAGTGAGCTTTACG